GGAGGTGGTCAACTATGGAGGTTCTGCTGTAGATACTATGATACTTAAATCTATGTTATGGATAAGATTACTCAGGAAGAAATTAAAGAAGAGAAAAAAGGACTGGGACCAAGCCCTGAGAAATCTCCAAATTTAGAGGTCATATGGAAGAAAAGTTAGAAATGGAGACTAAGTACAATAGGCTTAAAATGTGGGGTCATTGAGCCAAAAAAGAATCCTCCATTGAGGCAATGGTCAAGTGTGTCAAATCTGCTGAGAAAGCTTATTCAAGAGTATGAAAGGAAGTATCTCTTTAGTTGAAATACGTAACACCTTTGGCAACACCAAAGAAGTGTTAATGGAAGTGTTAGTGGAAGCCAGACTCAATCAGGAAGGTAAATGGAATGTGAAGTAATAACCAATAAGGAAATTGTACCCATAGACAGTCCCAGCTATGGATTATTACAAAAAAAACTGAGACTAGGCGGTACCTATAGCTCAGTTGGCAGGGCGCTGGCCACATACACCTAGGGTGGTGGGTTTGAACGTGGGCCGGGCCTGCTAAGCAACAATGACACCTGCAACCAAAAAATAGCCAGGTGCTGTGGTGGGTGCCTGTAGTCCCAGCTACTTGGGAGGCTCAGGCAAGAGAATCTCTTAAGCCCAGGAGTTTGAGGTTGCTGTGAGCTTTGATGCCACAGCACTCTACCCAGGGTGACAGCTTGAGACTCTGTCTCAAAAACAACAACAAAAACCGAGACTATAATTTTTCCTTTTCTATCTGGCCTTCTTGAGTTTTCCTTTAAAATCTACCTTTTCTCCTTCTTTCCTGATATTTTGGACCTGTTAGTTATAATCAGCAATTCTTACAAATTTCAGATCAAAATCAAGATTGCTCTTAACCAACCTATTTAAGGGAAGTATTGCAGGAAGTGCTGCTCTGTGTTATAGAAAGAGGCAAATGACACTTCTAACCCAAGGATTTACTCTTTTCTCTTACTCAATTTTCTTTTTGTATCTTGTTTAAATTATCATGATAAAAGATTCTAGAAATTATTTTTGTAGGTAGAGCACAGCAGGATGATGCGGAAGATTAGAAAATTTCGTATCTGGATGGATGCTAGTTTCTGAATATTACTGGCTAGCATATGAGTGTAATGGAATAAGTTCATCTTGCCATATGGCTAATATAAAATGGAAAGCTAGGTACTTGCCAATTAGGTTTAGATCAGCAACACTTGATCACCAAACCATTTCCAGTTTCTAAGTACAGGTTCACTGTCAGTGGCAGGCTCAGTTTCAGAACTTTAAAAAACAGATCTCTAGGCCTCAAACACGGAGATTTTGATCTAGTGGATGTGGAGGGAGATCCAGGAACCTCCATTTCTAAAATGGACCCCAGGATTTCTGATACACAGCTAGATGGCAGACGTTGATACTGAAGAGTCCGAAACTCATAGGTGATAATAACAAGGTAGAGATAAAGAATCATGAAATTCTAGCACTCAGAGGACTTTTAGAGGACACCAAGGTGAAACACCGTATTTTTAATTTATTTTTTAGTAAAGCAAGTGTCCCGTCATATCACTTATGGCCAGATCTTTTGCTTTTTGCCATTTCTTACATGTGCTACATCTTCTTGTTCTTCAGTTAACTTATATAGGTAATAGGCTTTACTTTAGGCAGACATATTTTAATTGACTTAAAAGCACTACTTTTTCTACTTTATTGTAAACTGTGAGAGGAACTCAGTCGTTGGTTGAAGAGAGGAGGAGATATGCATTATCTAGAAGTCTCTCCCCAGCTGCACAGTATCTTCATAAAGCTTCCCCAGGTCTTAGCGATCATAAAAGATAAAGACTAGAGTTTTGGAAGATATCATTTCTTAAAAGAGGGAGTGGTTGACATGCGAAAGCAGGACAACTTTATCAGGCAAAATAATTAATACAAGAGCAACTTTTCTTGGAGTTACTTGGGTTAAAGTTTCTGCATAGTGGGACTCTAGGAAAGAATTGAAAAGTTGCTTCAGAGACAGTTGGAGGGAAAAAATACACAACCTCCAGTTTAGGGTGTGAGCTTACCTCACAGCTGTCACCCTCATAGTAGTTCCTGCCAACTATTTATAAACTAAGAGTTAAAAGTAGATGACAAAATAGTCTACGTACAATGCAAAATAGACTAGTCTAAAGGTCCAAAGTTTAGTTGAATAAGGAAAATGGAGAATTTTATTTTTAAAGTAGGATAAGGCCAAAAAGATAAAAATGAAATAAAAACAAGGCATAAAGAAATTCTAAGTGAATACAGTAAGAACCTACGTGCTAAACTAAACCAAGGAGCCATAAAAAGGAAAGTAATTTGAAAGACTAGGGAGAGTAGGGCACTAACTAGAAGTGAAAAGCAAAAGAAACATAGTGGTTCAGATCTCAAATACATACAAGAGCAAAAATGGCTAAAACTAGAAAAACTGGGCACAAATAAGATTAAAAAGATAGAGTCTAAAAAGAGAAACAGCTGCCCAAGTGTGTAACCACAGACGAATGGGTAAACAAAGTGTGATTCATACACACAATGGAATATTTCATTTATAAAAAGAAATGAAGTTTGATATATGCTACGAGGTGGATGAACCTTGAAAACACCATGTTAAGTGATGCTAAGCCACTGAATCATATACTTAAAAATAGTTCAAACAGCAAATTTTATGTATATTTTACCACAGTAAGAGGAAGTCAAAACAGACTAAAAAGGAAAACAAGTACACAACAGAACAATTGAAACCAGAAATTAAAACCATAACATACGCTATCACATTACAAGACTATCACCCTCAAATGTAATTTAAGGAAGGCAGAGGAACCTAAGAAGTACATGCCAAAGCAGTAGGAGCATAAATAAGATAATTTACTCTAAAAGAAGCAGGATGACCACATAATCTACCATTCCAACCAGCACATTTTTGAGAGGAAAGGGGACATTATTAATAATTATACAGGGACAACAGGCGTAGACAGGGACCATCACAGGCAAACTAGGATATGTGGTCACTTTACATGTAAGAGTAACAAGGTGCTCAAGGTTGAGTTCACACACAGCTTGGGGCCTGGCAGGAGTGTGATAGTCTGAGTGTCTTTCTGAAAGACCCAAATGATCAGAAATGCAAGATTGTTTTTCTTTTTCTTTTTTTCACAGAAAAATCACACTTATATAGCCTTAATGGAAATTTACTAATTTTGGATTCATGAAACGATTAACATATTATTAGATTTGTATTAAGAGCTATAATTTGGTATTTTAAGAATTTTAGAAAGCTAAATTATGCTTTGAAATGAATTGGCAGGTACACTAAGGAAGTCTTGAGGTGAATTATTTTTTATAACTCTATATTTTTATAGATTACCTTAGAACTGTATAAATACATGTATATGTTCTTTTATACTTGTATTTGACTACCGATAATTGAGCCCAGAATTTAAAATATTAAGTTAGAATTATTGAGAAAATCATTAGTACGGATATTCTATCCATTTTTTATTTTTAAACTAAAATGAATCTTAATGACCTACAAATAAGTTAACTTAAATACATTAAACAGTCCATACCTTACAGGAGAAGCTCCGACTTGGGATGTTTCTTGCTAACTCTGATATCTTGGGTTTAGTCTGCAGACACTTGTTTAGGTGACATATTTTCAATTTTATTCTATTGTAATAATGATCAGCGAAGTTACAGTGATTCAAATGCTGTTTCTGCATGCATTTCCCAAGGTGAGGAATACTACACTTCAAAGCTTGGAGAAATAATTTGGTCTTCAGATGCATGATATCAAAGTCCCTGGTTTATGCTCTCTTTGGGGCTGCCAGCATGTGAATGATTTCATAGGTTAAGATTGTACAGTAGAGGGTTCTCAGAGCATCTAAATCAGCAGTTCTCATCCCTCCCCTTCAGGGCCATGCACGCTTTAGGTTATGAATAATTTCGGAATCCTGATAATTTGGATTAAATAAGTCTAAACATCTGTATGAGTTAGAGTTCTATTCAGACTTCTTAGCAGATGTGATTCAGAGGTCTCACTTGTAAAGTCAATCCTATCAGGCTCAAATTATGCAGCACTGATTCTGGTAACATAAGAGCAAACTAAAAAAAAAAACAAAACAAGAAATAGAAATTTCTAAATAAGTACATAGACTTAATGGGGCATCCCAGAACTCTGAGGGCTTTAAAAGGCAAAATGGCTTTGATCTTACATGACTTTGAACATATCTTTGGTTCGTATGTGGAGGATAAACTAGAAAAACCTACTTAATAAAGGAATTATTAAATAAGGGGGAGGGGAAGTTAATATTTGTTGAGTGTTGCCTGTGTGCCAGATGCTTTTATCTATTTTGTTTAATTTAAACTTTTTAATAGACTTGACAAAGTAGTTATTATGATGCTCAATTTACAAGTGAACAAATGTGGCTCTGGGAGCTCTAAGCAACAGCCCCAGGTCACTTGGACAGCAAGCAGTATAGCAAAAGGTTCAATCTGGTTTGGTTTCAATTATTGGATATAACAAACAACTGGGCTTTATTAAAAAGGTATTTAGCTCTTTAATTAAAAATAAACCAAAAAAACAAAAAACACCGCAAGGTGCACAAATAAAATGCGAAGCTATCGCTGGTTTCTGTTAGCTAGTAGGTTGTTAAGGTTAAGAGTCAGACTTGGGTTCAGGTGTGGCTCCTGCACTTAACTACCTGTGCCTCTGGGCCTCATTTTCTTCACCTGCAAAAATGAAATGACATCATTTACTTTCTGGGGTTGCTGTTGTAAGAATAACATAAGATGTCAAGACTTTAATATAGTTAGTGCCTGGCACAGAGCGACCACTCACTAAATGCAAGCTGTTATTATTAAGACAAGAATAATCTAGGTATGTTGCACACTGTTGAGTGCCACGATGGAAGTGTTCTACTAAATGACCCTTGGTATCAGAGGCAGAATACTGCGTCAAAGTTATCAATGATCTGATCTGCTATGACGCCCCCGCCCCCCTAATTCTCCTTGTATGTCGCAGCAAAATAATGAGCTAGTGGGGCTAAGGGAGCTTGCAGTCAACACTAGCAAAAGACAAAAAAAAAAAAAAGAACAAACGGCCCCGAGTAAGAGGTGTTCTTAAAGGCCCTGAATCATTATAAATTTGTCTTCACAGGCTCAATCCATCCATATTTCATTCGGAGGGAGAAGACAGTATGCAAGGCTAGGGATGGGGTGGGGTAGACACATGGGTGTTCCCAGGAAAACATCCCCTTTCCCTGTGCAATTCTCTACCTCAAGGATGAGGCGATCGGAGGGCAAGAGGGAGTGGGACTAGGTGACACCCAGTGATAGTACGCGGGTCAAAAAGCAAGGACCAGAGGATGGAGGGGTGGGTGGGGAGAAGGAGGAAGGGAAGGGAAGAGACCACCAGCATCCCCACCATACGTACGCAAATGGCAAGACTTAGTCTGACTCCGAACACAAACCAGTGAAGGCAGGCTGGAGAATCCGAAGCTCTCAGGAAGGAACAGAAAAACAAGGATGCACCTCAGACACGTTCAGCCCTAGCGTGCCTCCTGCAACCGCAGAACTACAACCTACCCAGAGCCGCCCAGAGCTGGTTTGCAGCACGCCGATTTACGTAACCCCAAGCTGGCACGAACCCTAGGCAGGTTTCGCCATCTTTATTATGGTCAAAGATTATACTTGAGTTCCTGGGATTTTTAGGTTTAAAAGACGTAAGCTTTTGGTCCTTTGCTACTCTTTCGAGCTTGAAGCTAAGTAGGGGGGAAAAAATAAAACAACAACGGACAACGTTCCACTAGGTCTGCCACAGCGCTCTCACCGTCCGGTCTGCCCTTACTCAAGATGGCTACCAGCAAAGTGGTGCAATGCCGCGCCACGCTGCCCTGGTTGCCAAGGAGACGCGATTACCGGAAATGCGGAATTCGGGGAGGGAGCACACGCCAGGGCCGTAAGCGAGAGGCCGGGCGTCTCAGGTCCTGACAGGGAAGAACTAGGCAGGTCCTGGTAGGAGAGAGCCGTGGCGGCCCCACCTCCGAGTAACGGTAGATCCAGTGCGATGGAGTCGCCAGTCACAGGCTCCGGTGCTGGTGAGACTGCGCGGGCCGCCTGCGGGGGTCTGAGGACTGGCAGCGCCGCCGGGGGGCCCGCAGTCTCGGCCCCTCTGGGAGCAGCCCGGTGGAGGATCCTGCGGCAGGTGAGGCAGAGCTGGCTCCGCTCCCCTTTGCTTCTGGCCACTCCCCTCTCTTGCCCGGCGAGCAGCCGGCTGCGGAGCCCTAGCACTGGCAGCTCTGGGAGTTGGCGCTCACTTTGCCGGGAGCCCCGCGAGAAGCGCCTTCCCTCTCCCCCGCTTCCCACCAAAAGGGAGGACTGTGCGGGGTTTGGCGGGAGGACTCGGCCATGCAGATCCAAGAGCCCTTTCCGGGTGTTAATCTATGCCCGGGGGACTTTCCCCCTGGCCAGTGTGCCAGATGCCGCTCCACACCTGTACCGCTCTCTCTTCCTACTGCTGTTTCACCTGTTTCCCCAGGTTTCTTAACTCCTAGCCCGGTTCTGGTTAGCGGTGCGTAGTGTGCACTGGCAGCCCTCAGCTAAGTCTCTGGGAGTTCTGCGTGGTTGGCTGAGTTTGGAACTCTTTGACGGAGCACGACTTCCCTCGGGGTCTTCGTGTAGCGCAGAGAAGAGAGTAGGAAGAGAGAACTCTCCCGTTTCTTAGTTATTGTTATCTCATTTGAGATTGTGCTTTTAGTAATTTGAGGATTACTTTCTTTGAAGTTGTCTCGAGTAATCTTTTCACACAGTAGCCTTTTAGTGCTGTTATGACATAACTTATTAGAGTTAGGAGTTAAGTAAATCCTTAGAATTAAGTAAGATCATTTCTTTGCTCGTGCATTGATAGTCTTTCCAGAGCATCAACGATCTGGTTTTGCTATTGTTACAAATAGTATTGTAGGATAGTATAATGGGTACCCTCATAGATCGTCATAGTAACTGTCTATAGCGAAGTGAGCATGTATTACAGTGGAATTATCAAGTAAAGTAAATTAGGGCCAAATGAATCAAGTTTTTATATAATCTGTTGAGAAACACACTACTATCCTTTTTTGCTGTTCTGTGACATGACTTCAGCACTTCTTAGTATAGCAATTCTTAGCCCTTATGTTGATTCAAAATTGCAATCAAGATCAGAGCAATAAGTTTCAGCTGTGGCAGCCATATGAATTCCCTACATTTTTTAACATTTAATCTTTTGATATATGTGTGCCTGCTTAGAGTCTTCTTCTCTACTTCGTGAATATTCATCTTTCACACCTCCATCGCAATCTACTCTTCCAGGAAGCCACTGCTAATGCCTCTGAGCTGAGTTAGACCCTTAGCCCACTCTACCAGTGAATTCTCCTATTATTTTGTTTTATGATCATCTGATAAGAGTTTCTCTTTCTCACTAGAATGGATGTTCTCCCTGGGGAAAGATGATGTTTCATTAATTTACATCCTTTGTACCTAGCAAAGGGCCTGGCTAGTTGGTTTTTAGTAGATGTCGTTAAGTGTTTGTGGAAAGCCTGAGACTAAGGACAGTTTTTAAGTGGCCATAGCACCTAGTCTGTAGCGTATTGTATCAGATAGCTATTGGTGAATAACAGTCATCTGGGGGCCAAGGCTGTGTTCACCTATGCTCACATATGGTAGCCCTATGCTGAACTATGTTCAGTTCCTGTACCTCTAATCCTTGGACCAGTTAGCTGACATATTCTTTTTTTTTTTTTTTTTTTTTTAGTTGACATATTCTTAAGGTGATGGCAGAGGTATAAGAGATCAAGTCAAACCACGGAAGCACTTTTTAAGTCCTGCTCATATCGTGTCTGTTAAGATCCTGTTGGCCAAGACTAAAATCAGAGGGGCAGAGAAGTGTAACTCTCCATGGAGGTGACAAGGAGGAAGTGAATATTTTTCTATTATAATCTTACCATCACAATATTAAACATTTTCTGGTTTTTAGTAAATATGGGGTTAGACAATTAAGTTCGCAAACTCATCCTAGAAAAAAATGCTGCATACCTCATTGCTGAATATTACTACAGTTGCCTTTGATGTCCCCTGGGCCATCTGGTGACTGTAGTGATATATTCAGACCTTGTATATTTCAAATAAATGGACTATTTATATCTTATATGTATCTAGAACTGAAAAACTGAGAAATCAAAGCAGTGTGAGAGATATGCAACTCCTTTTCTTTCTCTTATGGAACATCTTTGACATCTGCTTCTCTCTGGTTGTTTTCTCCTTTACAATTGCTATCTCATGGCCCTTGGCCTTGTGTTAACTGTTCAATATTTTCTGTGTTTTGTAATTCATATTTTTGAGAGAAAACCTGGTTGATCTGGTTCATCATTTGGTAACAGGTCACTTAAGTTGCCAACAACTTCTAGTTGTACTTAACAAATTCCCGAGTGTACTTAAATGAGGTCTGGAAGTCTATGAATCATAATTAATAAAGGGTATGGCTGTACTATTTTCTTTCTTGAGTCTCATTATCTAATGGCAAAAATGGCCATTGACAACTTTCATCATCTAACCAGCGAGCAATCTAGAAGAAATAAACCTTTTCCTGACATCTAGATTATTTCCTCCAAACAACTCTGATAGGCCAAATTTGGACCAGTTGCTGCGGCTGCAATGGGACATGTTGGCTAACCTAGGTTGTCAGCTCACCCTCTGGCAGCCCACCCTGTGGGGGAAGGTAACAACCCCACCAAAATTATTAATGCATAAAGCAATGCAGGGATATTTTCCAAAAGGAAGGGATGTATGGGAGATAAAAAAAAAGTAGCAATAACTATTGCACACTTACTCCCAGATCCATAAATACCTACACAATGAAAAATCTTGCCTAGAGGTATGAATACTTAGCTAAAGAATCTATTTAATGGGCTATTTCACAGAACCACTTAGATTAAAGCAGGATGCTTTTACCTGTATTGATCAATTAAAAAAGTTGGTTAAGGAGGTGAATATCATAACAATGGTCCATATTCTAAAGTGAAATTACAGCCTTACTGCCAATTCCTTCCAGGTGTTGATAATTTTTAGAGTTGACATCTCATACCTCAATGGATAGCAACTTATCTTTATCCAAAACATTACTTTTTATTAAACAACTTTCTTCTAGCACTATTTTAATAGTTTTGTAATACTTAATTAATGACAAATATTTAACTGATGACTAACTTGTTTGAAGAACAACTGATATAAAAAGGTTTGTGAAGATGTACCATTAACTTGACAACTTAGCAGTCATACAACTTGATATGACATCAGACATATTTAGAACTTGATGCAATTTTATGTCTACCAGTTATCATGTGGCTTTTCATTGATCTCCTACATTATCATATCTTTATGGAATATATTTTTGTTTTATCTTTATTTTTGACTTTGTTTTATATCCTACTTTTTCTTTTTCATATACTTTTCATGAATGTTATCTTGTATTATGCACCTTTTTAAGCTACCTTAAATGCTTTTGGCAACAGATGTGACATACTAAGTCTTCTCTAAGCTATGGGAAGTTGGACAACTTTTACTTTTTAAGCTAGTTTCCTCTTCATTAAAAAAAATTTTTTTTTTTGGACAGGCATGGTGGCTCACTCCTGTAATCCTAGCACTCCAGGAGGTAAGGTAGGAGGATTGCTTGAGCTAAGAAGTTTGAGACCAGCCTGAACAAGATTGTGAGACCCCCATCTCTACTAAAACTAAACAAATTCTGCCACATGCCTGTAGTTCCAGCTACTTGTGAGGCTGAGGCAGGAGGATTACTTGAGTCCAGGAATTTGAAGTCTCCTTGAGCTATGGTGACATCATTGCACTCTACCCTACCTGGGGTGACAGAGACTCAGTTGCTCTGTCACCCAGACTGCAGTGCAGTGGTGTTATCATAAGTCACCGTGATCTCAAACTCCTGGGTTCATGCGATCCTTCTGCCTCAGTCTCCCAAGTAACTACAGTTGTAGCCCACCATGCCTGGCTAATTTTTAAATTTTTTATAGAGAGGGGATCTTGCAATCTTGTCCAGGCTTATCTCAATTTCTTGGCCTCAAGACATCTTTGGTTTATAGTCAGACAGTCTGGATTTAACCTGGGGGTAACCTCTTACTAGCTGTCTGACTTGGGCAAATTACTTAACTGCCCTGTGGTTCAGTTGCTTCTTTCACATGATGGGTATCTATCCCAAAGGGATATTTGAGGGTTTAATGAAAAATCAGGTAATATTTGTATTAATTCTTACTTAGATATTTGGTATAATTTTCTGGTGGACAATCTGGGGCTGGAATTTTCTTTGTGGTAAGTATTTTATTTATGAACTCAATTTTTTAAATAATTAGGCACTATTCAGATTTTCTATTTCCTCTTATATCAATTTTGATAGTTATATTTTTCCTTTTTTTTTGAGACAGAGCCTCAAGCTGTCCCCCTGGGTAGAGTGCCATGGCATCATAGCTCACAGGAACCTCCAACTCCTGGGCTCAAGAGAGTCTCCTGCCTCAGCCTCCCAAGTAGCTGGGACCACAGGCGCCTGCCACAATGCCTGGCTATTTTTTGGTTGCAGCCATCATTGTTGTTTGGCGGCCAGGCTGGATTCGAACCCGCCACCTTAGGTGTATGTGGCTGACACCTTAGCCACTTGAGCCACAGGCGCTGAGCCAATAGTTATATTTTTCTAGGAATTTGTCCATTTCACCTAAACTTTCAAAGTTAGTTTTCCTAACATCCCTTTACTAGTCAGAATCTGTAGTTTTCTCCTTATATCACATTGATACTTGTACACTCTCTTTTTTTTCTTCTTGGTCTTATCAAGGACTTATCAGTTTTATAAATCTTTTCAAGGAAAAATTTTAGTGTTGATCCTCTGTCTTGTATATTTATTTTCCACTTCATTAACTTCTCTTTTGGGGACCTAATTGGCTTCTTTTTCTAATTTTTACAATGAATACTTAGTTTATCAGCTGTCAGCCTTCCTATAAATTTCCCTCTAAGCGTGGATCTAACTGTATTTCATATGTATTTTTATTATCATTCAGTCCAAAGTACCTTAGTATTTTTATTGCATTTCCTTTTTTGGTTCATAGGCTATTTAGAACAGCAGTCCCCAGCCTTTTTGGCATCAGGGATCAGTTTCCTAGAAGATAATTTTTTAACAGGTTGGGGTAGAGGGGAGCTTAGGCAATGATGGGAATGATGGGGAGTGTCTAGAAATACACTTGCTTATCTGCTGCTTGCCTCCTGCTCTGCGGCTCTCTGGTCCCTAAGTTTCATGGAAGACAATTTTCCATAGACAGGCGATGGAGGTGGAGGCGGGGGCAATAGAGAAAGCAGAAATGTGAGGCCCAGTTCCTAACAGGCTGCAGACCAGTAAGACCTGGGGGTTAGGAACCTCAGGTTTAGAAGTATACTGCTTAATTTCCAAACATATTTGGCTTTTTAGATACCTTTTGGTTTTTTTTATATGAGTAAGAAGGTATTTTATATGTGTAAAAATTTTCTTTTGTGGGACATGTCAAACATATACAAAACAGAAGAGAATAGTATAATAGTGTAATAATCACCCAAGTATCCATAAGCTTCAACAATTTTTAACTCACAACTGACTTTGTTTTAGCTCTCTTCTCCAATTATTCCTCCCCCTCCATTATTTTGAAGCAACCTCAGATATCATTTAAAAAATGTAATGACAATACCATATCACGCCAGAATAATTCATTGATATCATGAATGATGATCTGAATGATAATAAATGAAGTATCTGGTCAGTTTTCAAATTATCACCCTTGTCTGATAATTTTTTAAATAATTTGATTATTTTGAAACAAGATACAGGTAAGATCCAAACATTGCTATTGGTTGATATATCTAATGAGTCCTTTTAATCTCTATATTCCCTCTGCTTGTCCCTGTATCACCCCTTGCCATTTATGTATTGAAGAAACTGTTGTTTTGGTCTTGTAGTGTTTCCTGTAATTTGAATTTTGCTGATTGAACCTTGATGACATTGTTTAATGTGTTCCTCTTTCCCTTTATATTTTCTGTTTCCTATAAGTTGATAGACACAGAGCTTTGACCAGATTCAGATTTGATATTTTTCATATTGTTTAATTGTCAGTATAGTGGTGGTATCAACATTTGTCAATAACAGTGATGTCTCATTTCTCTTCTTGATGATGATTGTGCATAGGTTCATGAATTTGTGAGGAGATTGAAAAATGGTGGTATTCTAATCCTGTCATTCTTCGTTTATTACTTAGGATATTACCATGAAGAGAAACTTCCCCTTCTATTTGGATAGTTGGTTACAATTCATATAAGGAAGAGATAAATACTTGATTCTTTCTCCTTATTTACTAGTTTTCAAAATAATAATTTGATTCTTTAGCATCCTTGATGGCCATCAGTGAGGCATTTAAAAATACTATTTTAAACTAATAATACGGTTTAATTCTTTTGCATTTATTATCTTTATTAACATGTGTATATTGTCTTATTATCTTAGACTGTTTGTGTTGCTATAATACAATAGCCAGGGCTGGGTAATTTATAAAGAAGCTTATTTTGCTCATAACTCTGGTGGCTGGAAAGTCTAAGAAAATGGCACAGGCATCAGCTTGCTTTCTGCTGAGATCTTTCCTACTGTCATAACATGGCATCAGGTCAGAGGGAAGTGGACATGGGCAAAGGGGCAAAACACAGTGGGTACCCTGAATTTATAACAACCTGCTCTTGTCTCATGAGCTCAAGAACTTGCTGCCATGAGAACTGTACCAAGAAGCATATGAAGGAAGTGTGCCCATGACTTAGATGCCTCCCATTAGGCCTAAAAGGTTGCACTACCCCACATTACCACACTGGGAATTAAGGTTCCAACATGAATTTTGGTGGAGACACTCAAACCATAACACCCATCTTTGGCCAGCCTGTTCCAATTGGTTCCTAAGTTCTTTTCACCTTACCCATCATTTTTTTCTAACTATTTTGTTTTCTGATGTTCTAGGCCCATCTTGTACAATACAATTCCTGCTATTTCTCCAAAGGGCTTTACTTTACTTAAAGAAAAAATAGATATAGATATTTAATAGATAGATAATAGATATTGTCTCTAATAGATATTTAGAGACAAAAATGTGGTTACATTAAGTATGCTTATTTCTGCGAATTTAGTAGTGTTTTCTAGACCTTTACAGTAGTTAAATGGAGGAAGTGTATTGTTTTAAGGGTGAAGAGTGAAGTACATCACATATTATATATTAAGTTTATATTATACTTTCAGATTCAGAGCTATAGGGTTTTCGCTTAGACTTATCAATCTTATGGTTGTATCTCCTTTCTCCCACACTTAAAAACTGTTTTTCAGTAACACCAACAAAATCAGCCATTTGATTACCCTAAAACACACACACACACACACACACACACACACACGCACACACACAGAGGCTTAGAATAATATACGTGCACCCGCCTAGGTAAGCTTTGAAATTCAACTTTTGCTTCCTAGCTTTGCAGGCTCTTAAAGGTGCTGCTTATCTCCTTAGTGCATTCTTGAGAGTTGACAAATGTACCCAGGAGAAAAGTGGTTGCAAAAGCTGGAGTCAGCTCTTCAGGTTTATCTTTCTTTAAAGATATGTCAGACTCGTAACTTTTCACTATCTTTGCTCTCTGATGTCATCAAGTAATGTTTAAAAATATTTTGTCCATCTTTTCTCTTGAGCTGGTTTCAATGGGAGGTGTGTCTGAATTATCTAAATTGCCATTATGGGACGTGAAATCCCCTTATCACTTAAATTTTGAACACTCTGATGTGCTTATATAATATGATTATATCTTTGGTTTTATTTCAAAGGTTCTGAAGCAAAAACACATGGATAATTGTCTGCGACATGTATCTGTAAGAAGATTTGAATCATTTAATCTGTTTTCAGTAACAGAAGCCCAAAAAAGGAAAACTGAAGAGGAGGTTGGTGAATGGGTCCAATATACAAGTGTCTTCTACCCTGAATACAGTATTTCCTTAAGGTAACCATTGTTTCAGTGAAGTTTTTTTTTGTTTTTTTTTGTTTTTTTTATTGTTGGGGATTCATTGAGAGTACAAGAAACCAGGTTACACCGATTGCATTTGTTTGGTAAAGTCCCTCTTACAATTGTTTAGTGAAGATTTTTAAAAACCAATTTTTCTCTTGCAGAAGAAAAACAATATAATTTTTTCATTATTTATTTATTTTTCATTATTTATTCTATGGAGTTTGTAGGCAGTCTTTATCAGAATTTAGTTCTTGCAGCTTTATGTTAGGAAATTCTGCTGTTTTAACTGCGTTTTGCTATCTTGTCAGACTAAAGAAAAATTCTTCAGGAATATAGTGGCATTTGAGGATAAGGTGAATTGCAAATCAAATAGTTCATTTAATCATTCTTTCATAGCATTTGATTATGTCAAAAAGCCAAGCTCTTTTTGAGGCAAAGAAGGCTGAAAATGAACATAGAATTTTCCCAAACTGTTCTTTAGGTAGTAGTTATATGAAAAATCACGCTTTCGTATTTTTCCCATTTATGTTTTGTCATTTTCAGAAAGTATCTTAAGACTCAAAGGAGAAAATTCAGCTGAAAACACTGATATTATAGGAATCATGCAGACTGTTCTGGCTTTAAAAATCCTTAGAAAAAAGACAAGAGAGTTGCAGACTGAGGTAACAAGATACCACTTTTACTGAATTAATGTTCCCTCACAGTTACATTCTAGCACATTGCAATATTACTGTAGGTGTTTGATTTTATAAAATCTGCCTTTTTTGACAGGATTTCACATTTTGAAAGGGAGGGAGGAGCACATTTACAGTAACTGTAAGAAGAGCAAAAAACATTTTAAGTGGAAATGTGACTGAATAAGGTTTAGGTGAGGCCAGGAATAATTTGAAGAAAAAAATTTTCACAAAAGATGTCTATTTATAGTATATGTTTCTTGAACTATTTTGGCTTAAAATATCTAAGCTTTAAAAGACACCATAATAGCAAAAAATTGGCATTTACATAAAAATTGACTAGGGAGGGCAGAGAAGAACAATTAGGATCTGGTTTTATAATATTATTTTGTTGAAAACACCTAATATATGAATTTAAGGATTTTGAGTGTGCTCGTGTATTA